TCTTTTAAATACCTCCAGGGATGGGGACTCAACCACTTCCCTGGGCAGCCTGTTCCAATGTTTCACCACACTTTCAGTAAAGAAATTTTTCCTTACATCCAATCTAAACCTCCCCTGGCGCAACTTGAGGCCATTTCCTCTCGTCCTGTCGCTTGTTACTTCGGAGAAGAGACCGACACCCACCTGGCTACAACCTCCTTTCAGGTAGTTGTAGAGAGCGATGAGGTCTCCCCTCAGCCTCCTTTTCTCCAGGCTAAACAACCCCAGTTCCCTCAGCCACTCCTCATAAGACTTGTTCTCCAAATAGTACCTTTCACTACAAATTACGGTCTATTCTTCAAAACTCTTTTTTGAAAAATGTCTGAGTGCTTCAGTCATCCATAAATCATCAGATGTAACTGTGATTAATACAAGTGGCAGTAATTATTGATCCTGCTGCTCTGCTTATATTATACCCTGAACTTTTGTCAAGAAAACTGTCAGCTGTTTTCTCAGTGAGTTACAGTCCATGCCCATTTCACAGGACAGTTTGGCAATACAGTATTGTACTGTCTTTTTGCTGGAATGTTATTTTTAATAAATGCTGACTGAGCTTTGCATTCTGGGCAAATCTAACCTCTTCCTAAGTATCTCCTGGAATAATCAAGGCCTGAGTAAGGAGGTACTGGTGTGTGGCTGGGTGGGTGCATGCACACACGTATGTATATGTATGTATATACGCAAATACGTATGCATATATAGATAGAGAGTAAGTCAGTAGAGTTCATGCCACCTGAAAATATAAGCTTTCCCAGTTGGTCTGTTTTTACTGGGATAATCTGGTATCCATTCTCCACAGTAGCACTGAAAACTGAGGAAATGTGTAACATTTTCACTGTATTAGCATCTCATTAATGACAAGGTGTCTTGTTACGTGTAAAATCTCTCTCTCTCTCTCTCCTTGCAAAAAAGCCTAGATTTGTACATTGCTACTGCATAATGGGTCAAAATCGGACATGGATTTGTCTTTCTGGGTGAAGAATGTGGCTCAAGGAAGAAACAAAGGTTGTTCACCATTCTTTCTATCCCTTTTATTACTAAATGTGCTTATTTGGAGTTTTTTATTCTGTTATTTTTATACCTCCTTCTTTTCTTCCTTTCTTTTTTCCAGACTTTTGCCTTTTGTTTAGCTTTCCTGCTTACTATGTGGCATCTTCTCATTATGATTACACTAAAAACACCTCCTCTTATTAATTCTCACCTTACCTCTAGAAGTTGAGCCATCTAGTAGTCATTCTTTACCCTAAGCATAACATTTTTTCATAACATTGCCTGGTATGATCATTAAAACTGCAGTTGTACCTATGAAAACTAAACTTAAAGCCCCTTAAGATTGAGAGTTTATTTTTTGACTCATTTAATTTTCCTTAAATTCTCTTTGCTGTAGGAGAATTGCATCCTCCTTCCTTAGTCTGCTTCACCCTTCCTGATCATGCTTCAAACCTGATAGCATTGTGTTAAGCCGCAGTGAAAGGCAGCATGACCAGTGCTGAATCATTGTCAAGTCTGTAAAGGGGTATTTCACTCAATTATGCAGACTCATAAAATAAATTATGCAGGCATTTCTGGAGAAAATAGGTGGAGACGCAGAGAGGTGGGAGTTCACTGTTCCCTTCAGTGGAAGCGTTACTGAAGCTACTTGTCTTGGTAGGAAATAATTTCAACAGGGTAGTAGAAAGTATGGATATTACCTTAAAAAGAGCACTATCAGCCCCACCATATTAATGTGGTGAGAATTGTATTGCTCCTTCATCCAGGTATGTGTATCCTAGCAGAGTAAAGAAGGAAGCATGTAGTAGGGGAAGAACACAGTATTTCTAATTGGTTTGCATAGGCCAATTAAAAAAACAAGTCTATTTTATTTTATGTACAGCAATGTATGTAATTTAGTTTAGATCTAGCTTTGATATCAAACTCTGCCTAGATGTAGGAGCCCAGAGCTCTGCGAGGGCTTTTGTAGCTGAGAGCTTATTCACAGACCTCTAAAGATACCTGCGATTTGCAGTGTACTTTGAGGACTGACTGCTTCTGAAAGTGGAATTTGGGATTGCTCAACCACTTCTGGGATTAGGCCCTGACTCGGCATATCCTGTCTTGTACTGCTTGTCAGATTGCTAAGTACTAAATTAATTTGCAGAGCAAATCAAATTCTGATGTGGGAGTAGAGCCTGGGTGTTCTCCAGACTTCAGTGGTGATTGATCTATTTGAGCACAGAAAAACAATTTTCTCCCTCTCTCATCACAAGGTTTTTCAGCCATCAGAAGTCTGGGAGACAAACAGATGAGGAAGGTAGAGAAAACTAAGCTGTAGGGGTTTTTGTTGGTTTTTTTCCCTCTGCTCATTTACAGCTGTGAAACCTGAATACTAGCCAAGACTCATCCCAATGATTTTATGCAACAAACTTATTTCTGAAGACACAATCTCTTTCTGATGCAAAAGGATCACTCATTACTTTATAACAGGAGCTTTGTTTCTTATTAAAATATTCAAAGAGTTTTCACCAGATAAATGTGGGGTTTTTTTAAACGTAAAGAAGCAAAAAGGTTTCTCTTGCTTTGCTGCAAGTCATGTTCTCAGTTTTATTTGGGAGATAAGCACCACAATACCACCTACTGGAATGCTCAGCTAGCCCCTCTTTCCCCTCCTTCTTAGGCATCCAGTATCCTCATAAAATGCAAAGGGAGAATTGAGCTGCTAGGGAAGAGTTTCTCAAAAGCTTGCTGCCTAGAGAGCAGCACACGCTAGAAGAAGGGGTCAGGCTTCATTTAAGCAGTTAATTTGTCAGAAACTGGAGCCAAGTCTTGCTTGTGGTGTGTGTGTGAGGGGGAGAAAAAGAGAATTCAAAACTCAGGTTAGAAAACTCAGATAAGCTGTGGCAGGTGTGACCTCAAATCTGCATCATGTTTCAGAGCAAGACGTTACTATATCTCAGTCAGACCATGTAAATATCCTAGAAGAAGCTAAAGAGATTGGCCAAGATGATCAAAGGAGGGGGAATTTCTGTTCTGAGAGTCCTCTTTAGGATTGCAGTGTACGGGCTCTGACCTGTGGGGCTGCATCAGTACTTAGGTGGCTGTATCCATAGGAAACAACCTAGATGTTGAGTGCAGAAACTTAGGGTAAAATACACAAGGCACAATGAGAAGCAGGGCTTTTAAAACCAAGCAGAATATTGCGCCACTGCAAATGTGTTGCAGGTGGTAGATGAAAGGCTGATTTGAATTTCTCTGCATGGAACTGCACTGTTTCATGTAGACTCAACATCAGAATACAAATTGTTAAGAAATCAAAGTCAGCTAGTTGAGATTTATTGTGTTTAAGTGGCGGACTGAAGTCGGTAAAGAGACAGAAGCCTAACTCCTTTTGTGATCCTAGATTTAGCTGTTAGCATATCTCACTTTCCCACAAAGCAGCCCACGCGATGCAGTAAATAAAATCCGAAATTGGTTTTACTATAGCTAAGCTTTGTTATGATCATGGTTTTCATGTCATTAACTTCCTCCAAAACATACAGTCCCCTTCAGTTTTCACTTACCTTATTTCTTGAAAGTTATATGGTGAATTTATAAGATAAGACTAGAGGTTTTTCCCCCGCCCCACCTCAGGCTTTGCAATGCCGAAACTCACAAATGCTACCGTACGATGAAAAGTTCAAGAGACAAAGGTACGTCCAGGACTGTTCCCTGGTACCTGGAATGCACCTGCGACCCCGTAGCCATGAGGGGTCGAACATCATATCAGGGCCACCACAGAAGCTTTCAGTGGTCTCATCAAGTTGTCTACACAAGAACTGCAGTCACTAGTCCATGTAATCCAAAGCCGTCTTGACAAGTGAGGTACACTGGAATAATGGTTCCTATGAAAACTCACAAAACTAGCTATATAGCACAAACACTTTCTTTTTAGTGCATATTAAGAAAGTTTTGTCTAGATAGCTATATAGGTGCATTCTCACAGCAGGTTTTTTGCCATGTTTCAACAGAAGATACATTTCCCAAAGCAATGCAGTTTTATTTTGAGAATGAGTCTGATTTAGAGGCAGAGAACGTCCGAGTAGATGTTTGCTGACTCCATCTCTGTTCTGATGGAGAAGGGAGCAAGGGGGAACTTAACATTTACAAATAGGAAAAAGAATGGATATGACATAGTGGTCAAGTCAAGCCAAAGAATGCGAATGGTTTCTCTCTTGTAAGGTGCAGCTTGATTTGGCTCCTCATAAAACCTGTCCAATGGAAAACAATGTCTCAGGTATGAGGCAGTACTTCTGTGCAGAAGGATGGTAAATAAGTAGTGCGCAGAAAATTAAGAAGGAAGTGAAGTAGTACAGAGAAAACTAAGAAGGAAGAAAATGTCAAATTACATATTTAGGAAACTCCTGCTTGCTGAGAGGAGGAAAAAAATTGTGCGAGACTAGCTGCCGTTTTAGCCTAAACAAATGTTCAGGAGACAATCCTAAAAGGCTTTGAAGAGAGTCCAAATCAAACCTCCAGTTTTTCTCGTAATTAGCCAGTCACAACTGATCTTCCGGATACACCTGCACATTAACAGCGCCTGCAGAGAACAGCTCGGCAACAGGAGGATGCTCCTAAGCCCTCATCTCTGCATGTGAACCCCTTGCTGCTGTGAACTGCAGGCTGACAAGTGCAAGTTGTGCCACAGGACACACCATAGGCTGTGTGATAACAGGCATAAAATAATAAGTGAACAGATATAAACAATCCTAAATTTAATTTTCTTTTCTAAACCAACACTTCTTTGCTATCAGAACAATACTAGTAGAATAGCATCAGCTAAATTTGTGGAAAGGATTTGTGGGTTTTCACATTCATGATTTGGCCTGTTAACAGTATGCCTATATAGTTTGTCTTTCAAATCATCACTCAGAACTATAAACGACCTTTTACCTGCCAAAATAATGAGCTGAACATGGTTTTGAATGTTTTTTTTTTAATCCCAAGTCTAATTTAGGAATATGCCCTTTTACTAGGATACTCTCTGCCTCACAATTCTTCTCTAATGAAAAACATGGATCTAAAGGCTTATGTAGATCACAGGAAGGGGCAAATGTGTCTGACAAAAAGCTATGGTAAAATGCAACGTACGACTATATTGTACCTCCATAAAAGCAGACAAAATTGGCCCATACGTTAAACTGATATGTAACCGATAATGCTTCTGATGTGTATATTGCCAATTTTCCTACCTGATAGGAATTTTATGTTTCCATTTGTGGTTGCTGAGTAACTGTGGGATATTCGCTATGTAAATGAGGATGTATTGATACCTAAAAAATCTTGTATTCAGTTGAATTAGCAATAATTTACTATACTGTTGCATACTGATATAAATTATGCCTTTATAGATATGGCTAACTTTTTACACTGTTGGAAAGTCATATAATGTGTTGAGGCTTACTAAAGGTAGGCCAAATTTTTTTCAAACACAGGAACAGCTTGCAAAATAAAAAAAAAATGATGTGAATTAAATTAATCTAACTGAACATCTTGCAAAATAAAAAAAATATGATGTGAATTCTATTAATCTAACTTTCATTTTAAGGGAAGGGGAGGAGGAGACAAATTTACAAAAAATGAAACAGCACAGGAATGGGTCAGGGACCAAGGATAATCCAGTATGAACTGGGAGATGCAGAGAGAGACAAGATTGTAAAGAAAAGAAAAAAAAAACCCATATATTTAATATTGTAGTACAGGCTACTGTACCAATTAAACTTCAGCCTGTTTTTGTGTGTTCCTCTCTTAGGATATAGCTCTAATGTATTCTTCAGAGCAAGAAAATAAATTAATTGTATTAAAAAAAAAAGGTAAAGTTACAGAAAAAATTATCTGGAATCATTAACTTCCATATGTACCTTCACATACCTTCATTTTACACTTTGCCAAACTTTGATGTTGTTCACCTTGATAACAAAATTCACTTCCTCTTTTTTAAGCTAACATATAATACTTAACAATATGCCATAGTAACAGAAGATATTCTTCTCAGTGCTTTCTGAGCAGTCATAGTACAGATGTGATTGCTCCTTTCCCAGGGACATAATCATGTTGACGAAACCACATTTTGTTTTCGCCAGCTAAGTATCTCCGGAATTTCCTCGTAAATATATGATGGATGCTAAATTCTTCTGGTTAGCAACAATCACTTCACACGCACTGCCCTGAGACCTGCCTTGCCTCCTTCCCAGCCCAAGCGACCTGCCGGCATGATCCCGGGTGTTGCCAGAGCTCCCCCTGCACTGCCCGTGAGAAGGGACGTAACTGGGCGTGTTGGGTAACCTGGTATGTGACCGGAGGTGCCTGTGCCCACAGCCGCGGGTGGGCTCTGAGACCGTGGTGGCAATGCAAAGCAGGCAGGAGTCTGACAGCGGTAAGGTAGCAACTGCTGTTTCAGAGCAGTACGGTTATAATGACTGTAAACACCTGCACGGCACAATTGTAACAGAAAATTAATGAAGGCTGTTGTGAAATGGTTGGGTTGGTTTTGTGAGAAACGATTCAATGATAAGTAAACACAAATTTTTGCTTCTTTTTAAAAGGATTTATTGAACTTGACTCACTTCTGCCTTGAACTATGTAGATGCTTAGTCTTGGGTTTCCAAAGGTACTTAAAATTAGGTGGCCAAATTTTATTGGAATTATGTGAAATTAAATTACTCTGCTGGGAAGCAAGGCAAATTGTCTCCCATCCTGAAATCCTCACTGCCAGGCCTCTAGTGTCCCCTTTCCCTTAGGGTTCCTTCAGAGCCAGTTGTGATACCTCTGACTCAGAGCAGTCCTCAGGCCAAGCAGACGATTCCATGAAAAAGGCAGTAAACAAAGTAGATGTAAATTGTTACAATTTTGATAGGTTTTTACTCTTTCTTCCTACAGCCTGCATTTGGCACAATGGCTACTCACAACTCAATGCACTAGGATGGCTTTCTTTTAATACAGAAGATGTGCAGCAAAGGGGACTGAGTCGAAAAATATTTAGAGTTTCTATTCTTTAACCTTTCAAACCTGAATGAAAGCTGAAAATGCTGATATTTTTCACAAAGTCCAGAAAAATATAATTTCAAGGCAATCAAAATATTTAATTTTGATTTTTGAATTTCAAAGTTACTTTTGAAATACAGATTGATCTTCTGCAACAAAATATCACTTTAAAAATATTGTTACCTTTCCAAAGTTTTGTTCCAAAATGTTGAAATGAGACATTTTGATGTGTCAGAACACTTCCTCTAGTTTCCTGTTGGAAATGAATTATAGCAAAATAGATCTGATCTCATGTGCTTGTTTCAAAGGAAATGCACAGATGGTCTATGGTTCTGGTGAATGATTCTGTTTAAGTCTGTGAATGGATCTAATAAACACAACATCACTGAGCCTGGCAGTGCTAATCTGTAGCAGTAGCTTCAAAAGTAGCTGCATTTTAATCATTATAGATGAATTAAAACAGCAAAATATAAACAGCCTATAGGTTACCTCTTCTCCTTCTTCAATATGATAATCCTTCCTTTCATTTGGCCCTCCAACAAACATCACATTCAATTGATGGCGGTGCCTAGAAAAGAAAGTGACATTTCAAAGCTACCTCCACTCACGGCGTTCTTTATTTCATGTGCTTTCTTAATTCTTTGAGGACAGTGAGTCAATGAAACAATGCTCAGTGACAAGCAACATCCAGAATGAGAACTCAAAAGACCTTGGATGCATTTCTCCACTCTGCCGCTGTCCTGCCAGGTGACCAGCTACCTCCCTTCTGCTGTTTCAGTGCCTCCAGCTATGAAAAGGGGACAACGATAGTTACCAACTGTGGAAAGAGCTTTGAACTGTAAAGATTGCTACATACAAGACAGGAACGACAGGAAAATGTCTTTTCAAGGTGAGCTGATTAGATCAGGATTCTGTAAAGCTAAAACACTTTTTAAGGTTAATAAAGGTAAAAAACATACTTCTTTCCCCGTTGGTAGAATTTACTAGAGGTACTGATGGAAGGAATTGTCAGCTGATTTCTCTTTCGTTTATACTGGTTTTGCTAAGGTGGAACAACATTACGATGGTTTCATTGTGGTTGTAATTGATTCAGAAAAGGAGATTCAGGCCCTTTATCTTAACCTTGCCCCTTTTAAGAGCCCCAGTGAGCACTTCTCTCAGCTGGCACAAAGAATAGATACCATCCCAATTATCTATCAGTCCACTTACACTAATAAAGAGGTAAGGCAGGTGGTTTTCATTTGCTAAAAAAACCTGTAGATCAGGCCTGTTAGCTGTGATTCGAAATTTGTCCTTAAGCTCTTTTTGACATGTTGAACTGGGGGGTGTTGACCTCTACTTTTCAGAGAGGAGATTCTGGGCAATACTTGGGCTAACAGGAGATCCTGGTAACAGAACCGGCAGAGCCACGCTCTCCTGTAACGCGGGGAAGAACGATGTGCCTCTGTGTCAGCACCTCGTAAGCCTTAACTGAGAGAAGCTATTCTGAACTGCTGAATATATACATTTAATCTGCTGCTATTATCATGTTTACTTTGAAAAGTATTTAAATGATAATGAACAACACATTAGGGATTAATAAAGCAGAAATAACAAGTAACAGCGACAAATTCCTTAGTCAAATAAAAATCTAAATAATTAAATTAGATTACAATTCCTAAATTGACTATTTTCACCATAGGAAGCTGTATACATTATAGCACTTGGCTTCATGCCCGTATCCTAAATTAAGGAACCGAAATCAGAACTGTACCATGCAGATCTAATTTTCATATTCAAAAACGCACTGTAATACTTCTGCATTAATGAACCCTTCTACTAAAAAAGGGCAGGAAGACCAAAACAGTGAGAACACCGCTAATAATTAATGAAATAAATTAAAATCAACCCTGGAGAATAAAATAAGAGAAAGACAATCTATGGGTATCTCGTAGCCTACTTTTAAGACGAGTTAATTTTTTACAGAAACCCATAGAGTTTTGTTATTAGTTCAATAACTAAAAGTAAAAATATTGCTCAAAATCATTGTTGCTTAACTTTTTGTTTGGTAAATCTACCATTAATTCTGTTACCCTATGGATTTAGCTGGGTTTTACATAATAAACAGGGAACCATGGGATAATCATTCCTATCATTAACAATTATATAATGACACCATCAAAAAATTCCAGCTATCAAATACAAACAGGAACTCTAATGGGTTGGTTTGTCCATACTACTAAAGAAAGTTGTCTGGTTAGTATAGTTGCATTAAGTTAAAAAGAGAAATCATAAGGAAGGAAAGCAGTTTCAGTTAAGACCGCCAAAATGCAGTTAGAGTATCATAAAGGTTTCAGTGGTGTTAAAATTACTTGATTGCACTATTTTGAGTGCAACACCTCACACCTAATGAGGTGCTAATCAACGGCCTACTAAGTTTTACATACTCTTATATTTCTCTTCTTAATCATATAAAGAAAATGGTACCAGCAGGCAACCTTTTAAAAAGTCTCAAGACCATGAAGAGTCAGATAGTCCATGACCGCAGTTAGGTCTCCTTATGGTAAGTATCATATTCTGAACTCAAAGAAGAGCTTTAGAAGTGCCATGGCTACCCTGTAAAAATCAGCTATGTCGAGGGTTCTGATTTTGCACTAATTGCTCATTGTTGAGGTTAAAAAGCATTTAAACTTGCAAGACAGTGTCATTAAAATACATCTAATTAAATTGCAGCTCTTACATTGTACCCTTTTCTTGACTTTGGTAAAACTCTAAACAGGTGGTGATTCAGGAATTGAGGTTTTGTTTTGAAATCCCAAATAGGTATTTAAAACTTTTGATCCTCTCAAGTGTGTGGAACACAACTGAATAAAAGCTTGAAAGCCATAATAAATTTAGACACCAAAAGTCCTACTGATTTGCTGTAAGATCTAGATTTTAACCGTTAATTCTCTCTTGAAACACAGGATCAAGTTACTTAAATGTTTTGCGGTGGTTGCCTTCCAGTGATGTAGAAGGCAGTGAGAAAATTGCCTTATACATCTCTACTCAACACGTAAAGGATCAAAGCCTTTGGAAAAATGTTGGAAATCTATTAGTCACTTCCTGGAAAATCGCCTAATGCCTTTTTGGAAAATCCTGAAAACATTTAGATACCACCAGGAGCAGGTGGCGAGAGACTCAGAATCCATACAGTAGATGGCTTTCCTCTCCTTCTTCACAGGCTGAAGCTACGTTGGAAAATGGATTTTTTTTTTTTAATCTCCGCAATTTTTATCACAAAAAATGTTCTGTGTTTCACTGTGGCTTCTTGCAATGTTTATGGGGAAGACTTTTCAATGCCAAGTATTTAGGGATCTATGTGACTGTCTGACCTTTGATAGATGTCACATTCCGGAGTTACTTCAGGATTACACAGAACTGCTGGTAGGGGGTGCAGAACAGTGCAGTAATGACAAAAAGGTTCATCTTACTGGTGAAGAAAGAAAACGATGAATATTCCACATACTGTAAAATACTAACGTTTTACCACCGTTATTGGTAAGCTTTAGAAATGGCTATACTTTACAAAATTCTTCCTAAATCCATTTTGAAAACGAAAGAAATTAAAACACTCATAAGGAGAAGACACTTTCCTCATTCTCTCCTACTGTGAAACTATTGTAGTGATTCAAGTTTCATAATTTCTCAGTTAAACATACAACTGTAGTTTCAACATAGTCATCTCAGTAAGGATGTGCCCTTTACCTTATTTTTGTCTTGCAACCATTACTTTGAAAAGTAACCCTTGAACCTGTGAATGGAAATAAACATCACTGCTACAGTACTGCCCATTCAGCTTTTCATTAGAGGTAGCACTTCAGGGTAGGGCAAGAAGCACATTCTTTGGTGCTTTTTTAATGATTAAAGCTGCAAAGCAAGATTTAAAAAAAAAAAAAAAAATTAAAAGCAAGAAAAATGCTTTTTATTTTCTTTATAAAACCTGGATTTATATCACTCTTTACAGAGAATCCTTTCTTATGAAAGCCTTCTGTATATAGAGTTTTGGACAAAATACATTGCCCTCAACTTCACTGACAAACGAAATCCTTGCTAACGTGAATAGAAGGTGCCACACGTTGGACCATTTACACTGGAATTTGCTCATGAGTTTTGACACTGAGAATATGCATGCTATACAACTGCATAATGCCCACACTTTTTTCTTATATTAGCTGTCTCATTCAGAATATGGTTCGTAGCTGTAAGGTGCCAGTCAGTGCTCTGAAACACTGCCTCTTCAGCCTCCCGCTGAACAGAGGGTCCTACCCTGCCTTGACAGCTCTGGAGATGCCCTGGAAAGCTGCTCTTCCAGTGCCCCTGCCCTTCCTTTCTCCTTGTCTTTCAGTGATATGTCCCACTGGTTTTGGTTGCTCCTGCAGCTTTGGCTCCTCTGCAATGTTGGAATGACTCTCAGCAGCTCTAGCAGCTGTTTCAGGTTGTAATTTGGTAGCACTAATCTGTTAGCTACATCTTAGCATTTGTGGATGAGATGCTGTCTCCTCTGATTTCTCAGAGTTTATTGTCACAGGGCCTCACACAAATTCCCTTAACTCAGTCTAATTGCCTACAAGAGACTTTGAGTTGAGGCAAATATCTTGTATTCAAGTTGATCTTTACAGCTTCTGCAGTTACTGCGAAACAGATTTCAGTCACTTTCTGTTCTTCAAAACAGCACTCTGACTGCAGTCTGAGAGGAACTACAGTTCCTTACTAATCTTTACCATGTATGCATTTTAGCAGCTTCCTCTTATAGCTAAGAATATTTATGTATCTAAGAACTGAGTTAAAAAAAAAATCTTCATTTACTTACATAAGCTTATTGCACACAGGTGGTAAAAAGGCAGCTTTGTTTTCTTCTATCCATTTTCTTACATTTACAAGAAGCTCCATGGTCTACCAGCTATGAAACTTTTGACAGAGATATTAGAGTTTGCAGAGGGCTTTTTCTGTGAGCAAACTGCGTGTGGCTCCATCCCCAGAGCTCAGGGGATTGGTTGGTAGAAGAGGTGTCTTCAGGCTCGAGTGTCAAAGGGGACAGGTCCATCAGCCAAAGCTTACTTCATAGAGAGTACTAATGCTCCAGCAGCTTAGCTAATAATTGACTAGTGTTTTTAAAACACATATTTTAATCGCAGACTCTTTCTGCCCACAGGAGGTTTCTTAATTCTCTTTACTGCATGCCTGTTACCTCTCTATAGAAATTGCCTTGTTACACAGACAAACTGTGAGTTAGGAAAACGGGCAAGACTTGGGCATGCACACCTTTCAAGTCTAATACAGAAACAGGTTTCAAAGCTAAATGCAAGTTGAGAGCAGTTGCTCAAATTTTAGTTACATATAATATATACAAAAAAGATTTTTTTTATGCATGCATAACTATATATAGGTGTTTCAGGCTTGATAATAGAGCCCCATTTCCTTTCCTTTTCCCACCTCCCCTCAACCTTGTTAGGCTGAATGTTTGGGGGGGGGGTGTGTTTGAAAATATTGGGATCGTCTTCTGCTAAGTAACAAAAATAAAGATGTCTCTTGCATCTGTAAGACCAAAAGCAGTTGTCCATAAATGCTCATTTTAATTTGGTCCACTCTTTGCCAGTGTTATAGCAGGGCTTGTTGGAGAGCTGAACGTGGTTCTGTGATGCCCTTTGGGAAAGCGCAGCATATTGTCATCAAGTTATCAGGCAAACAAGAAACCGACAACTACCAGGCATTCCAGATCTGTATTAGTCTTTATTCCCTCACTAGTTTCTGTTCAACATCTACATAGTTCCTACAGGATTGGTCACTCTGTTCCCTGCCACCCCCATTTTTTAATAAGAAAATGTATAAACATTTATTTTCAGACTTGACATACGTGAAATGGGTGGTAAACAAAAAACCCTAGGCCATTACAAAATTTTAGCATTTTTCAGCTGCTCTTGACACAGCTTAGTCTTCTGATTATATCTATACTGTGCTTAGTGGGTGAATGTGTACAGGTATAAGGTTATAATATGATTTGTTTAAAAGTGAGTGGTACATCCTCATGGCTTGCACATATGAGCAGTGCGGCTGCTGGACTGAAGAGTCAGCACGCTGGGACAGAACAAATTTGGGAGTTCTTTAGCTTATGCCATCATAATTTTGCAATGGAAAAAAGAAACGGAGTGTGAGTTTGAACTAATACCATGCTCTTGGTCCAGTATGTGTAAGGATGACTCTGTTTTACCTTCATCTCTATCACTTCTTTGCAGTTTAGCTTAAACTAATTACATAATTGATCAAAAAAGATCTATTTATTTGGGGATAAAAAGATCCACAGGTAGAACAGTTCCGCTATACTAGTACAATCACAATGGGACTGGCAATCATCTCCTCTGAAATAAGGCCAAAGTAATTATTATTTCACTCAAATAATGTGGGTTTTTTTAAATAATTATTTAGCGCACAAAATTTCTACCACCAGAATGGCTGTGGTGAGACACCAGTGCATAGCAAAGTCATTAGGCCTGTTTTTGGACCTACAGACAGGAACATTTCAGTGCTTTTTGTACTGTAGGCTGCTGGCATACTATCTAGCTGTGAAGGAAAGAGATCTTCTACTTAAAATGCACTTTCACTTGGGGGATTGTGACCCAGCCTGGGTCACTGGGAGAAATGAAGACACTCTTATTTTAATGACCATGGTTTTGGAAAGCTCTATGACATCATTACTAACATGTACTGCAGAGCAGGACTCCATTTGTCAGGCATGAAAACCAAGAGATTGTACAAAGCCACAGTAGGAAAAAACATAGATCGTGGAATTGATAGAGCCAAGCCTTGTTCACCGCAATACTGATGTGCCAGTTTTAAATGCAGGGCTATTGTCCGCAACCCCTACTCTAATTCCTAGTCTCCACTTTTTTCCACCTGCCAGAATACAAGGTACTATTACCTGCAGAGAAAAATATCTCAGTTGCAGGCTGATAAATCCGTCTTGTGGCTAGAGAGATATGAAAACCCGATAGTTAGACCTACTCAGGGAGGAAACAAATGAAGTTCACTTCTAAAATTCACCATTAGTATGAAGCTGAGGTTACTATCACAGGGTAGCATTTTCTGCAACCTTCTGAAATCAAGAGGCTTTGAAAAATGCAGTTAATGGCCTCTTCATGTGTGTAACAGCTATAAGGGAACATTGCTTTTTTTTTTTTTTTTTTTTTTTTGAGGAGGGCTAAGAAATGGTCTGCATGGCCTGGAAGTACTGGGCCATGAAACCCTATTTCTGTGAAGTATATTGGAGAGGCAAAGAAAAGAGCCAGTGTTGCAGTCTCTGTGAGAGCCAAGTAAATACGTACACCTTGTGACCTGATCGGGGCCTGGTTTTTTCTTGCCAGCTTACTTCGCAATGACTCTTCACATCCATCAAACCCTGTTCCAGCAGCTGGGGTGTCTGCTCTCACTTTCGGCTCAGATCCTTCCCTTTATGCAAAGATAAGGACTCCATTTGTCAGCTTTTGCTGCCAGAGAAGCGCAAGACTACTGAAGCACTAAACTGCTACACAAAAATAATCCATCTTTTGCATTGAGGGTGTAGGAAAAAAGTGGTAGTGGAAAAAACTGAGTTTAGGACAGCACCTACTCTTATTTTTCTACTTTCCTCAACCCCCAGCCCTATTAGAGACTTAAATTTACCAGCTGGTGTCCAGCAAGCAGCATATGTTAACAAAAAGCACATAAGCTAAATGTTGTGTTTCTTGTTAGAAGAGGTATCCAGTTCGTTGGCCAGGATTTTTATCTGTATTAAAGTGATATTCGGTCATTTTTCCATTACTCCCTATATTAATTTTTTTTCACCTAAAGAACTGATGATAAAGGCCTAGGATGGTTTAGAGCCCCTGGGAAGGGGAGAGGGAAACAGACTATAAAGCCAGCAAGCATGGATGCTGCCTGCTCTGCTCTGCCCATTCTACTCTTGAAAGCAAACAGCATTGTGAAAATTGGCTCTTAAGCCTTGTTTTTTTCATACTTAGCGCTAAGAAGTATTCTGAAAAATCTTCACCAGGGGAGGTTTGCATTCACCAGCAATTTGAGGACAAAATCCTTTTAGTATCATTTCAACTTTGCCTTTTTGTTCCTGTGCAATACAGAGGCTGATTTATCTATACTGGTGTTAAAATAATGGAGCTACGCTGAAGTGATAATCTGGAGATTCTGCAAGCAGCAGGAAGCAAGTCACTTTCTGCGGCATTAGGACAGCTTTAACTTCTGCTGTTTTTCCTTTTTTTTTTTTAAATATTGTGAAGAAATGGAAAAAGGAAGACACAGATATGACTAAATAATCCATTTCACCCGGTTGAACACGCTTCCTATTTTTGGTCAATTCTGTGCTTTTTCTGTTTGTTCTTTGAGAACAAATACAAATGAAGTACTTCTTTTAAAAAATGAAAAATTATTTACATTAAAAAACCCTATATAGTTGCTGAAAACAAAAATTCAAATCAGTAACAAACGTACTACCGGAACCCAAGTACAGTTATGTTCCCACAAACTAATTCATGTGGCTAAATTTCACTGCTATATTCATAAACATACTATCAAGGGCCTCAGTCTCTGTGGGGACAAACATAAGAAGCAAGTGAATCACATAGCACAATAGAAGAGAGAAAGATCCCACAAAAACTACTAGAATCTTCACCGTTATCACTGTTACTTTTATGGGAAGGCTGGTTAAAATACAAGCAGTGATTATCAGCTATATAAACACCAGAATTAGAGCCACTGAGTCTTCCCTCTTGCCCAAGTCTAATGTTAAATCTGCAATAAAGAGCTTGTCTGTACATTCACAGCTTCAGCTTTGATTCTTCCCAACATTCTTGCATTTGCCAAAAAAGCACTTGTTTGGATGAAATTATGCTCACAGCAATCTTTGCGTGGTATAGAATATTTTATTTTCTAGTGTAATGATGCACTGCTAAGGGTAATGAAGGCAGCTGCTGTTTTCTGGTATGCCACCTAAACCTATGGGATGATGGAAAATTTCTCTAAGAAATGAACTGTCAGCTTTCTCTTTTTCTCCATGCCAGCCACCTCCATCAAGGGTCAGATACAGCAATTGCATGTTACTTCACCTGCCAATGGTGTATACCACTGAAACATATTCTAAGTAATGCCCACAGTAATAGTACCAACAGCAGAACAACTTTCTTGACAAGTGAGTAGCACCTCATCTCCATTCAAAACAGTCTCAAAAGGTTTGGGCTCATTTATGGATCAGAGGTGGGGGGAGGAGGTAATGAAGTCACACATAACTGCCACTCAATCTGCCAAAAGTAGTTGGGAGACCAGTGCTATTTACTTAAACCTGGCTGAGTGTCTGTCACCTGCTGCTGGGCCACTAACAGTTCATTTTTAGAGGCCATGGAAATCCAAGCACTGTGTAGCACTCCCTACAACTATCCACTCTGTAATAAAATGCCCAGAGCTTGTTGCTTTGGGCACAGTAAAGCAGCTGTAGAAAGGAAAATGCTTTCTAGTACTTACATCAGTAACCCAACAGAGCCGTCTAGGAAAGTAAATATGGTGACAATGCCTAACCATGGGTGGAAAAAAAGAAAGAGCATGTCTGTCTGAACTGTGTAAGTGTTGGAGTTCTGCTTGGGTTTAAATATCTGCTGATGCCAATTATGTTTACCATCTTCCTGCCACATAAAGATAAGAGAGATCTGATCTGACTGCAGAATAAATCCACGTTAGCGGTATCCTTTAACAATAAGCATGTACATAAGGCTGTGTGTTTTCTTCTAGTAACTGTTTCTAAGCATGTAGTACATCACATATACACTTTGTAGTTTCCATGTATAAGCAACGTTAGCCTTTTAGATCTATTCAGCATTTTCGTATCAGAGCATCTGATTCCATCTTCCAATTTTAGGAAACAGCAAGACAAAAC